CCCCAAAACCCCAAAACCCCAAAACCCCAATTTAATTTATTTTTATTGAATTTAAATGATCGAAAGCATCAAGTAAGCTCAACCTTCCCTGTGGCTATATTATTAGGCAAAAGTTCTGCAAGGATGACGGCAAACCCAAAAATGTCTATTACTTTAAGGATGAATATGGCCTAGACAGTATCCCTATTGAGGTATCTAAGGAATTGAGGAGTCCTCAATATAATCACCCCTTTCCTGGCCATGAAGATAAAGAATGAGAGTAAGTCTATGTGGAAATTATGTTAAACATGCTTTATAGTGTCTGACAGATAAGTTCATGATGTCACCCTGGTTCTCTTGCAATTGAACATGAAGAAGAAAAGTTTACCATGCCTATTGAAAACCAGTTTGTCGAAATTGATTTTGAAGAGATAGAGAAATAACATCAGAAGTAAGTCTTCCATACTAAATTATTTCAGGAGGAAGTTTACCAAGAAGGAAAGACTCACAAGATGGTGAGGCTGGATATTTGAGAGAGGACGATTCCAAGCTGTTTAAGATAAAGTAAGTTATTTGTAAAATGTTAGCACCAACTTTAAACCAATTTTGAGTAAGGATATAAATATACGGAAAAATAAGGACGCACAAACTATTTATCAACTTAAAATGAGCAGCAAGAAAGGTTCCAGGAAAAAATTGCAAGGTCTGAGCTCGTTTAAATGAAAGAGAAGAAGCCAGGTTTTGAATATTACGAATACGACTCAGCCTGGGACGAACTTTGTCTCATCGACTAGATCTACTTCCGCAATGAATAAAGATTGTAAGACTCCTCACATTCACCTATAGCTACAATTAAGAAGGGTTTCAGGAGCAATAAGTACGACGATAGCTCTTCTCCAAGGATTATTGATGTTGATAAATTACCTAAAACTAGAATTATTAAGAGTAACTCCTATTTCCTATCTAGAGCAGATCATCAAAATAAAGGAATAAAGTGGAGAAAGACTAGAGAGTACCTATCAAATGTCCTGAAAAAAGACCAGAATAGGAAGAAAAAGAAGAAAAATAGAAAATATATCAGCAATTTAGGTAATTCATAAAGTGTAATGATAGATTATTCACAGAATTATGAATACAAAGGAACCCTTACCTCTCATTCTAAGAGATCAAGGGAAAGATATAGCCAGGAATCAGGCCGTAGTGTTGATGAGAGAATGCAGAAATATCTCCAGATTGCTAAATAAGAGAGCCAACATTAAGTACACCAGCAATCTGATCATCATAGGAAGGATTTGATAAACCATGATATCTCAGATTTGACAACGGCAAAGAGCATGCCTAAAAGGTCCAACGAGAGATCTCTGGAACCTAAGAATTCAAAATCTATAACTTTAGTAAGCTATGTCTCCATAATATCAGGAAGGAAACCCAATGAGTCCGGATTATTGCTCCGGCAACGTGACGAATAGCGACTACAGAGAGGAACTTGTCAAGAAGGTATTCCCTACTTAATGCCTAGGTTGACACAATGTACGACTCAATTTACGACAACAGGTCTGGGAAGAGGTTTATCTCATGGTATAAGAGCCAAAATAAGGGAGGTTTCCCAAAGTTTATGCCTAGACCATCCTCTGTCGCCCCTACAGAAAGTATGAATGCCTTCCGAGACCTTAAGAAAATGAGAGAATTTGCCCGCAAAAAACAAGAAAGATGCATAAAGGACCTATCTACCTTTGAACATTATATAAAGGGCAAACTCAAGCCTCGTGATGTGTAGGCGAAGATCTGTACTATTTTGGATCAACAGGTTCAATTTTCATCTGATTTTAGGGGTTTTGGGGTTTTGGGGTTTTGGGGTTTTGGGG